TACTTATCTTTTAACAGATAAGGGACTTCCTCCGTTAAACACAGCAGGACTAAAATCCCATCTCAATACTGTGGATCAGAATATTGTGCTGTATAAAGAGCAAGTTGTGAAATTTAACAACACTCTTAAAGGTATTGATCAAGGTAATGAGCCCTTTTTTCCGAATAGCTCAAAAAAATTGTTTGAGGAGTATAAAGAGCTTTTACCACACATGGTCGAGGTAAATGAAAAAATGGGTACTAATTTATGCAAAGAGATAAAAGCTAAAGATCCCTCTTTTCATCACCCCTTATTAACTAATAATGATTCAACACCTAAGCCGCCCCGCCCTGCAGTACTGCAAGGGGGGAAGGAAAAATAATTTAAGAGGAGCTTTACGCTTTACGCTTTAGCTAAAAAAATTAAAGTCCAATCCATTTCATTTTAATATACATAATATTGGGCATATTATGACATAACGTATATAACAAAAATTAAATTTAAATTTTCCTCGGCCCGGGTGAGTAGTCATAGTATTAAAGTTAAAGAGGAGGGTTGGCCTTCCACCCCTTTATCCCCATATCCCCCTAANTACCCCCTACTCCCCCCCCGTCCCCCCCGCCCTGCAGTACTGCGAGGGGGGGAAGGGGGGATTAGGGGGGGAAATTAGGGGGGGGGGGATTAGGGGTGGAAGAAATGATGGAAGGGTGCTAAGCCGAAGCTAAACACCTCCTCTTTAACTTTACTTTATATAGGCTAATAATAAAAATTATAATTATAATGTGATCTTAGTAAGGGATCACATTATAAGGATTACGATGTAAATGGTTTACCCTTTGACTGCAAATCTTAAGGATTAGGTTCGATTCCTACGTAATCCTTTAGGGGGGGGGTTAGCCTTAGCTTCGCCAGCCCCCTAATCCCCTTCGCTACCCCCCCCCCCTCCTCCACCCTAATCCCCTATCCCCTCCCCCGCCCTGCAGTACTGCAGGGGCAGGGGGGGGGATTAGGGGGGATACGAGGGGTGGAGGAGGGGGTTTTGGGGATAAGGGCCGTGCATTATTTTTTTTTTAGCTTCCCCCCTGCAGTACTGCAGGGCGGGGGGACGGTTAAAAAAAATTGGCTGGCGAAGCTAGCCCTACCACTTCGTTAGCACTTCGTTGGGCCAACGAAGTCACTTCGTTGGCCAGCCCCAAAATTAAAAATAATTAGAGATGTAATAAAAAAAAATTTATTTTATTTTTTATTACATCAATAAAATTAGATGAGTTTGGTGATGGCTCTGATTGAACACTGTCCAAATACTTGACACATGCTAATCGAACGTTTAATTTTGGCCTAAGAAAGGGGTTTCATCGTGGCTTAAGCTAAGGGGTTTATTGTGGCTTAAGCTAAGGTTTAATCTTGACTTAAGCGGGTGTTTTAGGGGGAACTTGTGCCCCGTAAAACCTCTTAATTAAAAGTGGTGTACAGGTGAGTATAATATTTTTTCGCTTAACTTAAAGTGAAGGCAAATCCTTCATATTGCAAAAGGATTATATTAGTAATACTACCCAAACAGGGCCCTAATTATATTATCCGCTTTAAGAGGATGAGAAAAGTTTCAGAGATAGGTAGTTGTTAAGGTCATGGCTTAACAAGCCAATAATTCTCTTAGTCGAAGCTGAAAAGGCTGATCGACCACATTGGGAATGAAAAAATCCCAAGGCAAATATGTACAGCAGTGAGGAATCTTGGTCACTGGTCTCACGACTGAACTGGTAACTTGGAGGAATGAGGAGTTAACTTTGCAAATGGATGAGTGATCGTTAGAAGATCCTTAGTCCCCTGGTCTTCTTGACACATGAGGTATATGCTTCTAGTCCATATTGGGGGGAGACTCCACGTCGATTTATCGAGTGAAATTCTGTATACATATTGATAATGACAATATGTACATTTGTCTTGACTAATTACGTGCCAGCAGTCGCGGCAATACGTAAGAGACTAGTGTTAATCATCATTAATAGGTTTAAAGGGTACTCAGACGGAAAAATTCGCCCAAATATAGGGGACAATTTTTCTAGAGTTTTATGTAAGAAGGTCGTACTCTAGAGTGGAGAGATAAAATTCTGTGATACCTAGGGGACGGGTTACGGCGAAGGCAATCTTTTATGTAAATACTGACGTCGAAGGACGAAGGCAAAGGGAACAAAAAGGATTAGATACCCCAGTAGTCTTTGCAGACAAAGATGAATGCCATAGGTTAGATTTTTAATTTAGCCTATAAATGAAAGTGTAAGCATTTCACCTCAAGAGTAAGGCGGCAACGCAGGAACTGAAATCACTAGACCGTTTCTGACACCAGCAATGAAGTATGTTATTTAATTCGGTGGCCCACGAAAAACCTTACCACAATTTGAATATTAATAATAATGATATTATTTTTTATGCTTGATATGGCAGGCACATTTCCCCCTCCCCGCTGTTTGCGGCGGGGGGGAGAAAAAGAAAAATAATGGATAATATAGTAAATACCATATTCCAACTATATTTAATTATTAATACAAGTGTTGCACGGCTGTCTTCAGTTGATGTTGCGAAACTGTGGTTCGTTCCATGGAATTAACGTAAACCCTTGCTTTATTTGGTAAATATTATAAAGCAGTTCACCTTTATATAGGAAATGATAAAAGGGATCAAGACAAGTCATCATGGCCTAAATATTGTGGGCTATAGACGTGCCCACATTTTCCTAAACAAAGAGATGCAAAAATGTGAATTTTAGCTAATCTCAAAAAATAGGATAAAAATATACAAGGATTGTAGTCTGAAATTCGACTGCATGAATAAGAAATTGCTAGTAATCGTGAATCACCATGACACGGTGAATAATCCCTCGGATTGGTACTAACCACTCGTCACATGCTGAAAGGAGTGCGTGCAATAAGTTTGCTTTTCTGTTATAAGTAAGTAGACATATAGGTTTAGATGTTATAATAGGATCCTTCGTATGCGCGGCTCTGATTAGTGTTAAGTCGAAATACGGTTCGTGTAGTGGAAGTTGCACGGGACCTTTCACTGTTAACAATACGATTGGATATACACCCCCTGGGTTCGGGCGAGTAATGCGCCTCGGCCCGTATAGGGAAAATATATCCTTATGTATATATTCTTTATTTTAAAGTATATATATATAAAGGAGGGTTCCGTTTGTTGGTATGACGGGTTAAGCTGTAAACTTAATGACTAATTAGTCGTCGAAGGTTCAATTCCTTTCTCTCCTATAGGAATGAGCTTCAGGGCTTCATTGCTAGTCTAAAAATATTAAAATATTAATATTAATATTAATTATTAATATTAATTAGCTTCTATAGCTCAACGGTAGAGCATAATACTGTTAATATTAGGATAGATGTTCGATTCATCTTAGAGGCTATTAGTGGAGAAGGCAGGAATTTAGAGGGGAGCGGAGCGCCCTTCTATAGAAACCAAACCACTAATTAAATAGCTATAATAGCTATATTCTGCATTTTTTTCAATGGCTAGGGCCCACTTATGCTACGAAGTCTAGGCTTAGCACATAAGGAAGGCAGAAGCCTTCGGCTAAGGAAGGCCAACTCCCCGCCCTGCAGTACTGCAGGGGGGGAAGTAGAAGTATCCCCTGGCCTTCCCCCTCCCTTCCCCACCCCCTCGCAGTACTGCAGGGTGGGGACCCTGCAGTACTGGCAGGGGGCAGGTTTGCGGGGGGGGGGGTAAAAATAATTAGACGCCTTGCGGCTCTATAGCTGTAATCTATATATATACATATACATATATATATTTATAGAAAATGTAAATTAAATTAATTGTTTTATTATAATAAATGGATTCAAATGACTAATTTAATAAGAAGTAATTTCCAGGATCATCCTTTTCATTTAGTATCTCCATCTCCTTGACCTTTAAATACTAGTGTTTGTCTATTAAATCTAACAACTACTGGTGCGTTATCTATGCATAATTTTAATAATATTCATTATTTATATTACATAGCTTTAATTGGACTAGTTTCAGCTATGTTTTTATGATTTAGAGATATAATATCTGAAGGAACTTTTTTAGGGGATCATACTCTAGCAGTGCAAAGGGGATTAAATTTAGGTATTATACTATTTATAGTATCTGAAGCTCTATTTTTTTTAGCTATCTTTTGAGCTTTCTTTCATAGCGCATTAACACCTACTGTTGAATTAGGAGCTCAATGACCACCTATAGGTATAGAACCTGTAAATCCTTTCGAATTACCTCTTCTAAATACAGTGATACTTTTATCTAGTGGTGCGACAATCACTTACGCTCATCATGCTTTAATTAAAGGAGAAAGAGAAGGAGCTCTATATGGTTCAATCGCCACTATTTTATTAGCAATAATATTTACAGGCTTCCAAGGTGTTGAGTATAGTGTATCATCTTTCACTATTAGTGATGGTGCTTTTGGTACATGTTTTTTCTTTTCTACAGGCTTTCATGGGATACACGTTATAATAGGGACAATTTTCTTAGCGGTAGCTTTATGAAGAATATTTGCTTACCATTTAACTGACAACCATCATGTAGGTTTTGAGGGTGGAATTTTATACTGACATTTTGTAGATGTTGTTTGACTATTTTTGTACATTTCCGTATACTATTGAGGTTCTTAATAAAAATAATCGAGTAAGGTTGTGATAAGGCTCCGCCTCAGGAGCCTTAGGTTAAACAAAAGAACAACCACTCCCCCCTCCTCGGGAGACCCCACAACATAGTTGTGGGGGCCCTCAGGGGAGGGGGGGGTTGCGAATTAACGGTGGGCTTAAAAGATTATTAAGCCTCAGCCCCTGATTATTGTGATAAATGACCAGAGTCCCCCCCCACTTCTAAACCCCCGCAAGCTTGCGGGGGGGGGGTTTTTTGTTGAGGGTACTAATTTATTATTTAGCTATTATAACTTGAGGAGGTAGGACTTATCTTCAATTGTGTAATAGTATTTGATAATTTAAGGGGTTTTAGTATAAAGGCAATACTTAATGACTTTTAATCATCCAGATGTTGGTTCGAATCCGGCAAATCCCAATTATGTTACTGTAACTGGTACTTTAAGTGATTTATGGCTTCCTTCCGACCCCCTCCTCCACCCCTCGTATCCCCCCTAATCCCCCCCCTTCCCCCCCTCGCAGTACTGCAGGGGGGAAGGGGGATTAGGGGGATTAGGGATTAAGAAAAAAGTACAGTTTAACATAAAAACAAACCCGACAAGCATCGTTAAATGGTTAAGATGTCTGCCTTCCAAGCAGAGAATGTCGGTTCGAGTCCGACTGCTTGTATATATATATATAAACCTTCTTAAATAGGTTTACCCACCCACCATCATTTCATTCTGAGGCGGAGCCTTACCCTTCCACTTCGAGGGACCCCAAT